GTCATATGTTAAAAGAATTAACAACCATTATGTTGAAGCAAGTGCCAGTGCTTCTATGATTTGTAACCAATCAATGTTTCCCTCAATTCTCTATCCAGTTTAGCTTAATATTTTCGATAATGAGGCTTGACTCTGCCTTCTATTCTCTCTAGCTATTAGAACTAAGCCCCTTTATATATAAGATATACAGTTATCCCTCAAGTTTATGGTTTCAAGGGATTTTCGTTGATTTTTCTTTAACGAATAAAAAGAAAGAAAATCAAAACCTCAGAGGTAATTTTTCCAATTATCCCTAATAAATATAGTTCGGTAACAGCTGCCCCTTCACATAGCTGAAGGAACAATTACCAAAAACGACCATCTGGTTAAGCATAATTGCAGAAAAATCTCCAATTAACTTTTGAATCAGTTGCCTCAAAAAGCTCAGCCAGACTTACCGCTACAGCTAAGGCCTTAGCAGTTTCATCCACTTCTGCGAATTCTTCTTCTAAGTGAATTCTCTTCACACGACCCTTCCATGAAGATTCCATGTCATCAAAAAACTCGTTCGGGATAATGGTGTGTGTTGTTATCCTCTGATCACGTTCACCATCCAAGGAAATGATTTCACCAATTCTATGTGAAACGTATTTACATTCCCTCGCCTGAGATGTAAAAAGGAACATTAGATCGGTACTTTCCCCCTCAAAACTTCACAATCCAAAAAGAGCATAACCGAAAAGCAATACTTAATCAGAAACCAATTACTCACTAATGTCTCCAGCTCGACTTTCAGTCCAGTAGCCACCCAAGTAGGATCCATCAGTAATTTGAGAATTTTATGTTGCTCTGGATTTGAATACAGTTGTAATATATCATCGAGAACACTTTTTATTTTGCAAAACTCGACATGATTGGTTTCCCTCGACTCCAGCAACTTCACTAGCTGCAGATAGACCAGAACATAGAGTATATTAAAATTTCATTTCAATAAGATCGGATTATGGCACCATTTGGGAATAAAAAATATAAAAATTGCATAAGAAAATACTGACAATAATATTTTTACTTAAATTCATGATAATAATAATAAGAAAAACATCCAACTACTAAAGGTACATCATGAAAGTAGATAGGTTTTGAACCAAAGAGAACAATAAGAATTGAACCTTGGCTGGAGGAACACAGGTGAACTCGGGAATGGCGCATGTTATATCGCTCATCAGTTTGCAGGCCTCTGAGAAAGACAAGTGAAGAAAAGAGAGTAGAAAGGCAATTTACCGATCAGAAGACAAGGAACATAACAAACAAACAAAAGAATAGTGCATACCAAGCAAATAAGTCAACGAGCTAGTTATGTAAAAAGTTGAAAAAGAACACTTTTCTTTCATGGAGCATAGAAGTACACCACCTTTATGACATTGTTTCATCATAGCTAAAGATTTGGAAACATTTTTGCCGTTCCGGTTAAAATAGAAGTTCCACGGCCTAAGGAGAATAAAAGAATCATCCACAGAAAATTAATTTGAAAAGGCAGGAGCATGAGCCGTGAGGATAAAACCATCAATAGACTTAGAAGGAAGATTTTATCATGAGAAAATTTATAAATTGCTTTTCAATTGAAGAGACTTGGGAGACATCAGCGGTACAAAATTCAGCCAACAGGTTTATATTGAGGCCTAAAAAGATAATATATTACCTCTGGATACCAAATAGCCAGAACAGTAACATATATAGATAATTATATACACACATACATGTATGTATTTAGTTAGAAAACCTTGTATTGTGGATGCAATCCCATAAGCAGGAGGATTTAGTAGAAGATCTCTGACATACCTGTGATCAAAAGGACAAATGAATTTAAAGGAGCGGAAAAAGAAGCAAGAAACAGAATGTATCAATTATGAATAAAAATGAAATTAAGCTAAAAAAAAAATGAGTGAATATCCAGTTACTCAATCTTTCTACCAATGCATTTTTAATTATTAAGCGGCAGTACCCAGCTAATTTGCTAGCAACGGTCAATTAACAATGATTGTCTGGAAAGGAGGCCCAAAAGTGGGGTTGCCCTCAGTACACATGGACACATCTAAGTATACTGTGTGCTTCATTCAGTAGGTGGCATGATATTTATAATTAGTTCACTCACATAACAGGAAGGCCGGTGCAATTTGATGGAAGCAGCACCTTAAGTAAACAAGGAATTCCTTCAGTTGGAAGAGCACCTGATAATGCAGAGCAAAGAATAAAACAGCAACTTACTACGCATCAAAATTATGTAGCACCCCTTATATTTACCAGGACCATTGATATGTCTATTTTATGTTAGCAACATAAAACTATATTTCTTTTTTCTTTTCGACTATCACCTTACCAACATAAGAATTTACGGCTTTACCCAAATTTAAGGAACTAGTAGCACGATTTAGATTCATTTCTATAATAGTGAATTTGCAAAAAAAAACAATATTTCGAGTAAATAAAGAAACTACAAGACCATTTTAAAATGTATGTATTCTACATTACCTATTTGTGTGGCCGTCCCCAGGTGTAAAGGACTTGGCCTATTTTCTGGAGCAACTGTAACATTTCTGAATGTGATATCATCCTCAAGGCCATAAAGCTCTTTCACCTGACCAAGTTAACGTAGAAAACTTATAAAAGTTGAAAAGCAAGGCTAAGGCCTACATGCAAACCATTTAAAGGCTTCAGTGCCACCTTATACAAAAGCTCCTTCACTGGCTCGCCATCAAACCACTCGAATTGTCTAGAACTACATTCTCCCCATAACAGACCACCTTCACCGAATTCCCCCCACCGACAAGTTCCTGCAATGTATCTTCCATGTTTAAATAAAAGAATAAACAGCTATTGATTGTTCAAATAAAAAGCAATCATCCCACATCAACCTACCAACTCAGCTATTTCACTACTTGGCAGCCTTTCTTTCATTTCATTCTTTATTAAGGAATATAGACATCGTCACATAGGTCACCTAAGACTCAAAGATACTTAGCTAAACCTATTAAAGATACTTAAAGGTGTATAATTATGTTACGGAACCTAAAATATTTTTTCATTTTCAAAATATCACTAAATTACATTTTCTTGCGGTAAAAGAATGTAATGACCTTATCACTTCTACATAATTCCACAAGGCACGAAAATATATAAACAGAACAACCTACTAAGCCATCTATGCAGTGGCGGATCTACACTAGGGCGAGCCTAGGCAAGTGCCTAGGCTCAATTTTTTTGTGCTAACTACACATAGTTAATATGAGTTAATTAAAATTTTATATTTAATATATGTAAAAATATAAATACAAGATTTTATTTTAAAATTTTCATTAATTCTTACAAAATAACATAATTAATTTTATTTAAAATGATACACCTCACCAGTCGGATTCAATGATATATATTAGAACATTTTTAGTACTTATACCGTATAATAAGCCTGATGGATAAATTTATTGTTTTTCAATTATAATTGATAAATATTTAAATTATTATTGATAGAGATCAATTAGATATAATTTTTTTAATTTACATATACAATATGAATGTCAAATTATACATTGTCAAAATTTAAGTTATGATATATAAAAAATGATAATATATACAAATGTTATTAACTTTTAAATATATTTACAATTTATGTTAACCAAGCATTTAAACTTGAAAATTCTGGATAAAGATCCATATTTATATGGACTATTTCGAATCCGTTGAAATTAACATATAGAATTACAAAGCGTTTGAAATTGACAATAAAAAACTCTACATTTATATATAAGAAGATAATCCATAAGGAAATCTTTATAAAATAACATGAACAAAAATAATGACATTTAGGCTTTTTTAAGTCATATTTCAAAATGACTTGTTTATTTCCTATTACACAAAAAACGAAGGAAAAATGATTGTAAAATATCTTTAGTATATTTTAATATTAATAAAAACGCAAAATAAAATAACCAGACCTTATTCTTAATTTAATTTTTTAGCAGCAAGTCAAAGGCAAATTGAAAAGAAAACCATTCAACACCCAATTGTTCCAACGATTTATTTAATTGTTATTGTAAGTACTTTGTGCAATATGGTTAAAATTTTCTTTGAACTATTTTACCCTAGATCCACCGCTGCATCTATGAGCATAACCCTAGAAATTTCAACTATCAATTGTGCCAGTGTAACTAGATCATAATCGACAAAGAAACTGACTATCTAAAAATGGTAATAAATGGACTCACGTTTGAAATAAGTAATTACCAGAAAACTTTTTTTAACCAAAAGCATAATTGTGAATGTACTTTAGACCTGAGGAATTATGCCTCAATGATGTATGGAGTAACAAATGATGACATCGGCAAGTACGAAGTTTGGTGACCAAAGCTTCTTCTGTCAGATTATCCTCCTCAGAATAAGTCTTCATTGTCTCCAGAACCGAAACCATGCAGTATCCTTTAGCTGAACGAGATATTCCTTGAATCGAAAGGCAAAACCAACTTTAGCGAAAAATAGTGAAAGATTCGCGCAGAAGGACAAAAAAACAAAAAAAAAACAAAAAAAGAAAAATTGTCTATTTTGAAATGTTACCAAGTCAACATATCAACTTCATTTGGTCAGAATATGATTAATGAAGTTTCAGGGCAGAAGACGGCATAAATTAAGTCAAAAATAAATTTATCAACAGGCTGTTATCAGGCAAAATAATGTGCACAGGGAAAATTCTTCAGGGCTTTGGCTAATATACCTACTACAGGCATCGGGTCAGGAAAATCTAGGTCATGGTTGTCCCCAACGAGCCCAAAAACATAAGGACTGCCAGGATGTGCATGCCTGAAAACTAAATTCAAGTTAGAAGAGGATCTCAAATTCACTAAAAGAAGATTTTCTCAACAATGTAAAACTTCTGGCTAATTAAAATATATACCCTTGATAAAGTTAGACTAGGATAAGAGATAAACTAACAACATTTACGTGGGGTATAAGGAAAAGAAAGACAAAACTAGTTGTAATGATATTCTTGATTTTGAAACGCTCATTTGGTTACAAAACTAAACTCTCCCTACCCTGAGCAGCATATAAAACGTCAATCAAACAACAAACTGAGATACACTGCCTAAACATCAACATTTAAATTCAATTTACCCAGATATAAAACGATTTTTTCGTGTGCGGGCTTGAGCTGGACCCTGAACTTCCTCAACTATGCACTGAAATCAAACGAAAAAGAAAATGTTTCCGGTTATCAGTTTGTCTAGGAATGTCGAGTATGAGAATATGACCATTAAAGTGCAATAAATTTTTCAGATAATCCTTTTCATTTTTTTTTAAATCTGCAATTAACCCAAATCAGCAAACCTCAAAGGCATGGTACTCACAACAGAGAAACCATTACGTGTCAGGTCATCTAGAGTCTGTCGTAAATTCTGTGGAGGAAAAATGATATGAAATGTCAACAAATGAATCACAATTGAGATATTCTGTATAAAAGACAAGATCACCCAAGTGTTTTGAGAACGAAATTCAGAACCAATAATCCATTAATACAAGGCCTTCACCCTTCTCTACAAGACGTAAAAGAGTTCAGCTAATTAAACAATTAAAAATTTTCCACCCAACATTTAAAATATAAGAGCCATAATAAAAAAAAAG